AAGACTGCTCAGACACTCAAATACACACACACACACACACACCAGGCAGCAGCTTCACACGTCTAACGAGTCCCCGTTAGCTGATGTTTCTTTGTTCATTTGATTCGTTTTTGTAACGCTATATTTCCGTCCGAGTGTCACTGTCTGAAACCCCTTTTGCCAATTTTTGCACGTTCAAAAAGGTTAAGTCAAGATGGAAGTATAGCAAAAACATATATATATATATATATATATATATATATATATATATATATATATATGCACCTCAACCCATGTCTCTCATCTTTCACTTCCATACAAGCACACACACATTTACACTGAAACCTATATTCAGTTTGGGAGTGACAGCTCGACAGAACTTTGATACATATAGTTTTTCAGTTAACTCTAACCCCCCCACCCATTCCACCACTGCTGTTATTTTTAATCTTTTTTCTCCTTTCTTTCCAACTTTTTTGTTTTTGCCTCCATTTCCCCTGGCTCTTCTATTATACTGCAAAGGTCACATTCATATCACCTCCATGTTTAAAACCAAACGCACCAGTGTGTCAGAGGGCAGAGCGGTGTGAGGCCAAGCGAACCAAGACTTTTAAATTTGATAAACAGCCAGTGGCTACTGGAAGACAAAAGCCGACTTCTCTGAACAGTAACACTCTTTCTGTGCGTCAGCAGCATTCATATGCAAGGCTAGTAAACGTCTTCCATAAATCCCCCTCAATCTAAGAACTGTTATATACCACTATGAATGGTTGTGTAGATTAGATCTCGCTACATATTATTATTTAGGCTGGGGTTGAAGATGCTAATTTAGAAACAGGCAAAATACAAAAGTCAACTACACAGGCAGACCCTGAATGGTCCATAGGGGTTAACGAGCTCAGTGTTTGTTCCTTTGACACTCAAAAGGTAAAACCGTTACACTGTTATCATGGCAGGGCAATGAAGGGGATGAATATCAATGTCAGAGTGATTCCAGTTTGAAGTTTTGATGGACGGGTTTCAGCTCCTCAGGGAATCTTTGGCTTGGGGAGGCATGAGCGACTCAAAGGGATCCGGATCTTGGCTGACCCGGGGTCTTTGCGTGTCCCCTGATCGGGCTCCTCCAGGTTTGAGTCGGAGCACCACAGATCCCTGCCGGGCTCTGATGCTCTGCGAGGCTGAAGCAGTGAAGTGCGAGACAGGCTCGGAGCTTGAACCTGGGCTCCAGTGTTAAAGCAGGGAAGGCCTCTAGACGGAGGGGGCAGCTGCTTGGTCCGGTTAGCCAGAGGCCTTAAGGAACACCCGGGCTTCAGAGAGGCAAAGCCACCAGTGACCTCTGGCTTGAGCGAAGTGAGAGACATGCGCTTGTGGAGGCGCGGAGGCTGCAGCATGCGAGGGCTAGTCGAACCAGCAGATTTAGGAGTGACAAAGCTCTGCTCGATCACAGCGGGGGTTCTCGGTTCATGCTGTGCTGCAGACCGAGGTGCTGATGCCGGACCGTCTCTGGCAGTTACCCCCCGAGGAGCCCCAGTGCCTGGGCGGCGCAGGTGGGTGTCGAGATGACTCAGCTCGTCGGCGTTTGCTGGCCCGGGCACGTCTGCCATAAGGTCTTCAAGAGGATGTTCAGCGTCTGTGCGCGTTCCTTCCTCCGATCTACTCCTCATGAGGTCACTGCGGCCCTCGGTGGGGGGAGTTTTTACTAGTCTTCCCTGGCGGAGGTGCTCGTTGAGGCAGGGGTTGAAAGGCTGTAGTACTTGAGGCTGCAGAAAAGAGGAAAGATATATCAATAGGATCTTTTTAAAATGGGTATAAAATAGTCATGGATCAGTCAGAATATAATGAGGTACAGCTCTCAGTTGTTTTTATCGTGTTCCAGAAATGGCTGGATTTTAAACTTCCCCATTTTTTTTGGTGTGTTTGATCCCTGTGGAATCCAGGCTTTTGAACATTTTGCTGCTGCAAAGACAATTCGAAATCAAAAGGCAAACAGTTTATTTACTCTTTAATATCAGAGCTCGTTTCCACTGCCAGTCGCTGAACTATTCCGAGAATGGAAGAGGCAAAGTCACAGAGGAAGCCCTGATTCAGCACTTAAAAAACAAGCAGAGGAGAATAACCTTGCCATGTGAGAGCCTGGGATCTACTGAAGTCTTTGACTCGTTGTGTTATCGCTGCTGCAGAGAGGCTTCAAAAACATTCAAACTGAGCGCTACGATACCTGCTGCCTGTGTAACAACGTGCTGAGTCGTTAACCACATGAAGTTTAGACCAACCATGGTGTTGTCCTCCACCCGGGGACATACAAGGTACAAACACAAAATCATGAACACCTGTACAAAGTAATGCCATTCTATAACAGCCTGGCAACAAATACTGACTCACTGACACTTATGTTCCAATTTTTTTTTTGTGTCTGTGTTAGAGAGCTGCTAATTATCCAGCATGACGCAACAACAAACTACAAATTCAAACAAAAACTCATCATGACTTTTGTTTCCACACATTTGTTTTGGTTTCGATTTGTACAAGTGTTCATGATGTATCGGTTCACTCGCTCCGCATGCTTCACAGATTCTACATACTTTCAGCTCCACTTTAAAAAAAAAAAAAAAAAAAAAAGGAATGTAGATAATTCTGCTATTTCAAGAGGTACCACCACTATATGCCCTGATGATGTATATACTGTAGTTCCATTAAATACTGTAACCTTGTTTACAACTATTCTGCACCACATTTCAAGATAAGCCGAATATAAGGGCAACAGTGTTTATTAGTCCATAAAACTACCAGCAAGAGCAGAGTTGCTCAGATCACAAAAAAGTCAATACTGAACTATATATATGAATATTTTATACGGTTTATTAGTCCATTTTCTGAATAGCTTATAGCCTCAGCATCTATAAAAAAATACTGTATTTTATGTTACGTGCCTACTCAGTTTGAGATTCTGTAAGCCATCAGAGATCCAAGGAATGGCCTTTTTCTATCAATGTCCTTTGAACAGAACCTTAAGAATCTAAATCCACCTGGAACCGTCTCAAGCTGCTGAAAAGCATGAACTCGGTTTCAGCAGAAACATCCCCTCTGTGAGTTGAAAGTAAAAAGATCTCAGAGAATGTGAACATAAAGCTGTGCAGGTCAAGCTGCTGTGCCCGTTTCACAGTCATTCATATTGTGAGTGGGAGTGGATGTCCGAGGCCACAGCTCCATCTCCTGGTCCCCTGCCACAATGCGTCCTTGAGCCGATTACCAAACCCTTGTCCACCTCTCAGTGTCAAGTTTGTTGTCGCATGTTTTTTCAAGCAAGAAAAAAAATACTGTTTTTAGATTTCAAAGCCTGTAATTGAAAAACTTAATATGAACTTAACAATGGATGATTGTGTTGCTGCTTACAAAAGCTCTGATTAGTCCGTCACTCACATGGTGAGCATGTTATGTTAACTTACAGTACAGTTCCTATTGAGATTCAGTCTGAGAGTGAGCACTCCCTACGGAGTCTCATCGTTCAAAACTAAATAAAAGACTTCCAATCCACAAAGGACAGGTGTCTCCAAAGAATGACTCAATAAATCAGACACCATCATTATAGATACGGGCCTTGTACTATTTTTCAGTTTGGACATTGTGGTGCATGTTAAAAATACCACCAGAAATTTCCATTCTGATAAGAACATATGACACCTTTAATTGCAAGGTTCGCTTTGAGCGCATATATTTATAGCTGGCTCATCTGGAAGAAACCTCCGACAGTGCCGGAAACATGCAGTGTCTATAAGGTCACGGTCCATAATGACTGCCATCCACAGCTGTCTCCTACAGATATTAATAATAATTAGCAATAATCATTTGAGCTCTTCACTGCACTGCCAGGAATACCTCAGCTCACTAATGATAGCCATCACTTGAATGGAAATGTTCTTTCTAACCAAGAAAGACGCCAATTTGAAGCACCTGAAAGATGTTATGCCCAACATAACCGATCTCATCTCATCGCTTCTCTCACCGTGAAAAATGTCTGCGTGATTGGACAAATCAACAGGCAAGAATTCGAATGAGGATGTGAATGATCCGCCTCATGTCTGTCGGGAGACAATGTGATTGCGGCACATAAGCAGAATCGGAGTGGCAATATGGTGGCACTCCCTTTCAAAGCTAGAATACACTTTGTAGTACCATTTAATATAGATGGTTGTGTAAATGGTGATTTGGATGGTGTTGGAATTGAAGCAGTGGAAATAGTGTAAGAGCAGAGGATGTGTGGTTACTTTGATTTGTCCTTTGCTCGCTGTGCTTAACTGCTTTGATAGTGGAGTTAGAATGAAGGCGATTAGGGCAGCGGTGATGCATTCACGTCCCGTAACATGGGTTTTCCTAAATGTTATTCCTTTCAATACACTCAAATTCTTTAAGGCAAGCATCTCGAATGTTTCATGAATAAAATATAGAAAAACAAAACCACACAGAGAGATTTACCCATGCATGCATAACAGTTCTTATATAGTCAAGTTGATAGGATGGAACAAATTAAAAAGACACAAAAAAACAGATGAATGAAAATAACAAAAATATCAAAACTTAAAAAGCTAACTTTAGAAGAGCAGACCAAAGTTCCAAGTACAGATACACAAAATCCAAACTCCAAAACAACGGAAAATTGAAGGCAAAGCATGCAGACGCAGATGTAGAAGGGCATGCTTCAGTCGTGCCTCGTGGCAGCAAACCACAGCCCGGCGTGCAGGAGGTGAGGGCAGCAAGTGAACCGCATGTTAAAGAAACGTTACTGTACCACGCCGTGTCAGTGAAGTACTGCACTAGGTGCTCCACTCCTTGTCATGGGCATTATGTGTGGGGAGGCAAAGGCAGAACAGAGAGAACATGGAAGATTCAATTTCATTGTTTGAGTGACAGAGATTAGCAGAGGAGAATAAAGGGTTAAGAGACTAGGAGAGAGAGAGGAGTGAGACGCAGGAGAGAGAGAGAGAGAGAGAGAGAGAGAGAGAGAGAGAGAGAGAGAG